GTCTGCAGCATTATCACCATTTTATTCTCGTTCCAGTGGGCACAAGAGTGAGATGGAGAAGGGGCAGCTGATCTGTGCTGCGGGTCCTGTGGGATGCCCGGCCACGCAACCCCCAGGGAGGTTGGAATGCCAGGGGCCTGTCGGGATGCAGCCACAGCACCGAGGCTCCTGCCAGCCGTGCCGTGGTGATTTACACCAGCAGCGAGCCCGGGCCCTGCCGCACGGATAAATCCACTTCAGGCAGCAATAAACCAGCGTCACCACATCGGTAATCCGCAGCGCTGCCACCGCCGTGAGGAATCCAGGGGCAACGCACACGTGCCGATAAATCCCGGGCTTGTCTCAGCAGGGAGGTCCCTGGGGTGGAAATCCCCGGTGGAGCCGTGGCTGGAGGGGTGGGTGCCAGCAAGGGAGACCCTGGGGATGGATCCAGCACATGGGACTGGCAGTGGCCACGTGGGACCGGGGACATCCCCAAAACGCCCCCCCCGTGTCCCCCCGTGATGCCCACCCACCCCGGGCGGCTCCGGTGTCTCCCTGCCGTGTGCCACAGCGGGGCTCGATGGGCAGATTTATTCCCCGGTAAGAGAGCTTTGATCTGAAGTTATTTTTTGTTTACTAGCAACAAGGTATTGTAAATACATCTTTGCCGATAATTATAGAGTCTGGGCGCACACCTTAATCTCCATAAAATATCAGATGCTACAATTTGCCTGATTTAATGAGATTGGAGGCTGATAAGCCGCTGAGCTAAGCTGTAAACTTTGGGGGGGAGGAGGGAAATGATTGCAAATGTGCTAAACCGCCTTCGTCCTCCTCCTCCTGCTGCTGCTGCCACGTGCTCAGCCCGGGAGCGTGTGCCCAGCCCCGTAGCCCCCTGCCCAGCTCCCGGGGTGTGCCCGGGCTGTGCTGCAGCAGCTTCACGCAGGGATGGGCATTTAGGGCAAAAGGAGCTTTTTATACAATTTACCTCATTAAAACTCCAAGAGCTGAGCGCGGCACCGGGCTGTGGCCGGGGGCTCTGCCTCGGAGCGCTCTGTTCCCCACGGGGTCCGTGCCTTGCCAGGGGGGAGCCAGCACAGCCCCAGTGCCAGGCAGGGTCCATGTGCCAGCTGAGGTGTGAGGACAGGGTCCCCACGGGGCCACGGCTGGGCTGCACGGGCAGGTCAGGATGGACGTGTGCCCATATGTGATCATGTGGGTCCAGGTGTGTCCAGATGTGTCCAGGGGGACACAGCTCCACCTGGCACCTCCGGCCATGCCAAGGGCAAGCTGGACTGAGGGGTCCATGCCACCCAAGGCCACCCTCCTGCACGTGCACGGCCATGCCCTCGCCATGTCCCCCCACAGACACGGGGGTTTGTGCACTGCCAGGTGCCCGGGGTGGGGATCCCCTCGTGCAGGGATAGGGGGCCCTGCCTGGAAAGCAGGAGGCTCCTCCTGGTAACGAGCAGCCCCGTTTCCACAGCAACCTTAAAGGCCCACAGGTGCTGCCTCACCAGCTGGCCGGCTGTGGCATTTTTGGGGGACACTCAGCCCGTCCCCCTGCCCAGCACCCTGGCCTCAAACAACAGCACCTCATCCCCTCAGCCAGCAGCCCCCAGCCATCTCCTCCAGGTACCACCTGGGCTCACCCACAGCCCCCTCCCTGCCCTGAGACCCCCAAAGGGTGCAGACCCCCTGCACCAAGAGAGACAGGACCCCCCCCAAAATACTCCTGTGCCCACCCCTACATCATGAGGAGCCGGTGCTGACCTACAAATGTCAGGCTGACAGGTTAATTACTTTCCCTCTTCCTCGGGCCGTTATCAGATGGAATCAGACGTCACCTGGGACTGTTAATTGGCCTAATTATTCCAGTTTCAGATTTTAAATAATTAGTTACTGTTGACTCCAGCCTGACTTCCGTGATTTTCTATAAAAAGGTCAAATGGTTCCTGGATCCCAAAACCCAAGAGATGGGATGGAGGGGCTGCAGCACAGGCCAAGCACACCGAGACCCCTGAGCTGGCTGGGGACACTGGGGACAGTGTGGTTCCCACCAGTGCCTTGTGCTCACGCTGGAGCTGGCAGGACAGGGACATCATCTGCCTCAATGGCATCAGAGGGAAACCAGGAGAGGGAGGGGGTGTGGAAGCACCGGGTGAAGGGTGGGGGGTGGGAGGGAGCCCCTTCCTCCATCCCTTTCTCCCCCAGCATGGTGACAGCTGCCCCAGGCTGAGCTCCCTGCCCAGGCTGAGCCACAGGAACCCCCCCCGGCAGATCCCTGGTCCCCCTGGGCACCTCCTCCCTCCTGGTTTGACTCCCCAGGGCTGAAATCTCAGCCCAGGGTTTTCCTGTGGCCACTGGGCACTGGGCACAGGGGCAGCACCAGCCCTGCCAAGGCTGATGGTGGCCAAAGCAATACCTCGTGCCCACGGGCTACCTGTCACCTGCCCAGGGCATTGCAGAGAGGGACACCTGGGCAGAGGGACAAGCAGAGCCAGCTCATCCCCAGGCTCATTCCCTCAGGAACACCACGCTTTCTCCCAGCCTCATCCCCGCTATTAATAGCCTTCACTAGCCTCCTCGGGAGCCATTTGCATATTTGATTGCAACTCCGGGGCGGGGCAGGGCCCTTCAATCAGCCGCTCCCGCAGTCTCATTTGCATGGGTTGACATTTTGTTCTGGGAGCAGTGACACCGGCACTGCGGTTGGGGACACGGTTCTGGGGGGCCGAGGTGAGCACGGTGTCACCAACCCAGGCACTTCCCCCGGCCCAGCTGTGCCTGCCCGGGAGCACCAGGCAGGGCCGGCAGCCCCTCCCTGGCTGTCCCAAAGCCGGCCGGGAGTGACGGAGCCACGGTGGCCCGTGTCCCCACACGCCCTGCCCTGCCCCGCTCTCCAGCCCGACTCACAACAGCCCGTCCCTGCCCGACCTGCCCGGCGGGACGATCAGAAGCGCCCGTGGAGGGAAGGCTGTGCCCAGCCCGGCGGGCAGGGCGTGGGGTGACGGGCACAGCCGTGGGGTGACGGGCACAGAGCTCTGCGCGCTTTCCCGTCCCACCAGCCCTGTCTGGAGCTGCCGCACATCAAAGGTTATGGGCAGGGCAAGACGTCCCCGGGGGAGCGGGGGGACCCCGAGCCCCAGCGCACCCGTGGGCAGCCCCGGGGGGAGAGGGGGTCGGGAGCCGCCGCCGGTTCGATCCGCGGTTCGGACTCGCAGCGTGGGGCCGGGGCATCAGCACCGCGGACAGCGCCCGCCGACAGTGCCACCATGGCCAGCGCCACCACCGCTGTCACTATGGCCACCGCTGCCACTGCCGGGGCACCACCGCCACCGCGGCCGCCACTAGAAACTCCCACCACGATAAACTCCCACCACGAGCATCACTCCACAGCCACCACGGCCACCGCTGCCACCACGGCCACCACGGCCACCACAGCCACCACGGCCACCACTGCCACCAGTGTCACCACAGCCACCACTGCTATCACGGCCACCACGGCCACCGCTGCCATCACGGCCACCACTGCCACCACGGCCACCACGGCCACCACAGCCACCACTGCCACCACGGCCACCACAGCCACCACTGCCACCACGGCCACCACTGCTATCACGGCCACCACGGCCACCACGGCCACCACAGCCACCACAGCCACCACAGCCACCACTGCCACCAGTGTCACCACAGCCACCGCTGCCATCACGGCCACCACTGCCACCACTGCCATCACGGCCACCGCTGCCATCACAGCCACCACAGCCACCACTGCTATCACGGCCACCACAGCCACCACTGCCACCACTGCCATCACTGCCACCAGTGTCACCACAGCCACCACTGCTATCACGGCCACCACGGCCACCACGGCCACCACAGCCACCACTGCCACCAGTGTCACCACAGTGCCCAACAACACGTGCCACTGGCGGCCGTCCTGCGGCCCCGCCACCAGCCCCTGTGGCAGCCCCAGGCCAGGGATGTGCCAGACAGCGGCAGGAGGAGCTGGGCGGCTCCAGGGCCCCGGGCAGGCACAGCCAGGAGCTGCGTCCCAGGACGCCCTCGCTTCCCCCCGGCTCTTGGCATCACTTGGCAGGAAAAAACAAAGCAGGGTGAGGCGTGGGATCAAGCCTCAGGATGACAGGGATCGGGAGAGGGCTCTTCTGCTTCCCTCCCTCCTGCCTCAGTTTCCCCTCCAAGAAAGAACAGCAGAGATACAGGTTTGTGTCACAGAGAGAGGCAGGGTGATGGGGGAATCCACAGAGAGGTACAGAGGGACCCAACTGCCACTGTGGCTGTGCCAAGGAGCGAACTGAAGACAGGCAGGGCTCGAAGCACAGATGTCGGCACCGGCTGTGCCGCTCCCCGGCAGCGGGGCCGTCTGGCAGGCAGGGCTGGGGCTCCCCGGCTCCATCCACAGACCGACACACAGACACACAGACACACAGAGGAGATCCTGTCCCTCGCTTACACAGAGGTGCAGCCCTGCCCCGCTCCCCAAAACCCCAGTGAACAGCCCCCACTGAGCACATCCCCTCCCCCAGCACTCACAGCTCCCAGCCCCCAGCCCAGCACACACCCCCAGCCCAGCACACACAGCCCCCAGCCCAGCACACACCCCCAGCAGCACACACAGACCCCCATCCCAGCACACACACAGCCCCCAGCCCAGCTCCGCAGGGAACGGGAGCAGAGACCTCGGGGCTGGGATCTCCCCATCCCAGTCGGGTGAGCTTCCCGGCTGTGCCGGGGCTCGTCTGAGCGAGGGCCGGCCGGGAGCCACAGGCTGCACACCGAGGAGAGAACGTGGCTGCCAGGGAGGAGGATTCGGCCACGAAAGGGTTAGGGCTGTGGGCTGCCCGGGGGCTCCCGCTCTGCCCGGGCCGGGGGAGCTCGCTGAACTGGCACAGCTGGGCACAAAGCCGGGCTCTCCCAGGACTGGGGCTCTGCAAGGCACGGAGCCCCCTGCACGCAGCCAGGCCCTCTCCCCTCCCACCCACCACCCCACTCACCCGCCGCCGCTGCTAAGCCATGAAGTTGCCGGCCTGGGCTCGGCAGGAGTCGGAGGATGGCACAGCGGCTGGATTCCCTCTGATCCTGCAAATTCCCTGCGGGCTGCCCATGCCGCGGCCAGGCCGCGCAGCGAGGCCGGAGGCGTCCCCGGGGTCACGGCCACCCGCGGCAGCGCAGCGCTCCGGGTGCCGACACCGGCACCGGCACCTTGCAGCCGGCGAGAGGCGGTGGCGGAGCCGTCGCCCCCGCGCGCCGGGGACACACCCACGCGCGCTCCCCGGCGCGCTCGGCCACCCCCGCGCACCAACACGCGCCCCCGGCAAGGGGCGGCCCACGCCGGCAGCGCCGCGCGCCCACGCACGGCCCCGCACGCCCGGGCGGACACGCAGCCCCGCAGGCCCGC